GTCAAATACACACACACACGCCAGCTGTATTTAACTTACTATATAACTTAAGATTTTTTTATTCTTAATTTTTGGTGTCATCAATCAGCATTTACAGTCGGATGGTGTAATATTAAATTTGGTCACTAATTTGGTTTAACTAACTGCTGATGCTACATTTAATACTATGTACATATATGCGTTACTTACATATAAACTGAATGTACAATGCATAGTGTGCCTGCATGCCTGAATGCTGCTATGGACTTAATTGACTTGCCCTTTTAGGCGTATACATTTATAACCAATTAAATCCAAAGTATACACCATGATGATCTGTGGCTGATCAACATAAATATCAATGCACCCTTTTCTTTCTCCTGTGGTTATTATTTTATTCTTAGAGGATAACATTCACACAGATTCATTTAGATTGAGATCACTCAAAATCTGTTCCCAAATTTCCAAGCACTCATGGATGCTCAGTGGTGTACAGTGTACAGTACAAGTGAGCTGTGAAGCTTGTGAATAACGGATGACAGGATGATAAGTGTTTCTGGCGGGCTGCCTGGCTTCTCGTGTGGTCTAAGAGCTTCGGCTTTCAACAGAGAGATAGGACAATGCTGTAATGATATGATCTCCACAGCCTCAACAGACTATTAATACAGATGACCATGAGATTTATTGCTGCCATAGTAACACACCAGTATTTGACTGTTATACTGTTGTAGAGGATAGCAGCATTTGGGTCAACTGCACAAATCAATTAGTTGCTCAACAACAGTCAAAACAAAACATTTTTTTTAAAGTCAATCAACCATTTAATGAGTGTAGATATCTGACATTTGAGAAGGCTATAATATATCTGATGGTCTCTTTGAAAGCAGCCAATCCGTTTTCCATGGTAGTCAATGGCTGGTAAAGCCTCTTTCCCTGCCTCCCTCAGTGGAGCTGTAAAACCTGACCTCCTTAATCTTTCAGTGTCTTTTGATTTCCCTCAGCTTGACTGGGCGTGAACACACATCAGCACTTAAGACGAGGAGCACTGTCGCCTGACGCTGGGTGATGAGCA